CAACCGGGGCACGGCGAGGGAAAAAAGGGCGAGTTTCGTGAAGCACTGTCGCTGACATAAACAAGCTGAGACAGAACCCTTAATTGAAAGACCCCGATGGTTGAGACAGACCGGCTATGGACGGCTATGAATTAAGGGATCCTTTAAGGGGTCCTAATTACTACTAAGGGCTTCTTTAAGGGATCTACTGAAAAGAGTCAGGATCCGTATGAAGAGCCCCTAAAGACTCTAATAATCAAGGTTATAGGGCCGGGCGTTTACGGCGGTTTCCTTAAAGTCTTGTGGGGCTCCTTGGTATATCTCTTCAAAACCCTGACGCCCAAACTCCATGGCTTGCTGTTGATATGGACGCCTTAGATAATTCCAAATCCTCGACGAAGCTTCGTGTGCGCAGCTGGATGCTCAAAGGGACCCAGCGGCGCCTGCACCCCCAAACTAATCCGAAACTTACAGCTTCGCACCAGCCCAGACCAGAATTTTCTTTTCTAGGGTTTAAGTCTGGGTTAGCGGACATTGAACCCTAAACCCTAAACCCTAAACCCTTGAACAAGAAGCTGCTCCGAATGTGCCGAAACCCTAAACTCGGAAACCTAAACCCCTGAAACTCCAACTCCTAAAGCCAGAAAGCCAGAAGCTCCCTGTAAGCCGAACTATCAACCTGCTCGCCAAGTCCTCGAATCCTAAACCCTAAACCCATCTAAACCTTCAGCCTCTAAACCCTAAACCCATCTATACCTCCAGCCCCCTGAGCCCTAAACCCTGAGTCCCTAAACCCGAAACCCATCTAAACCCTAAGTCTTGATGCTATGGCGTCCCTGGCCATTTCCCCTGCGCCGCTCTGGAACCCCGCGCGAGAGCGCTTGCGCTCCTTCCCGGCGTTGATGGTTTTAGGGTTTAGGGTTTAGGGGCTTATCCCTTAGGGTGGGAAAAGTAAGCATGCTCTGAAGGAACAGGTTTTGAGTATCGGGGTTTACAAAGTATTCAGACCTCTTGTGCCCAAGCTAGTTCGTTCATAAATGGAGTATGATATGCTCCAGACTGATATTATGTTTGTGCTGGCACCCTCAAAATCAACGCAAAAGCGAGCCTCAAGAAGTACCGTCAAGTATTTCAGGAGCCAACCCGAACCCTTGCTTCAAAGGGGAAATACATTCAGGTGTAAGGTAGCAGGGCTGCTTTTTTCCTTTAATAAAGCCCCAAAGGGGTGATCTTTCTCAGGGGGATTCGACCAGAAACCATCGTGCGGCAGTCTAATTTCTCTGATCGTCCAAGCAAGTCAACTTTTGCTTTCCCAACGACAGTTGCTATGTGTTTGCTTCCCCAGCACATGTTATGCAATGATCGATATGTCAAAGCCAAAAAGCATTCTATGGGACCTGCAAAAAAGAAATCAGAAAACCTTTCTCAAACCTTGATCGAACTCTTCTTACATGCCTACCGACCACACTGCATCCTTTCTGGGTATGTCGTTTGTTTTTGTTGTTTGTGGGTGAGGGGGGTGGTAAAGACAACAGTCCTGGAAGACAAACACTTGGTGATAAGACATGCTAACATGACAACAGTTGACAACGACAGACTTGGGGACTATACATGATAGAGCCATCAGCTCATGCAATACATCAGAAAGAACCACCCAAATACTGAACCCTAAACCCTACAACCTAAACAAATTGAACCCCAAGCCTTAAACCCTTAAAGCCCTAGAAGCCCTGGACCCCATTAAACCCCTACAAGCCCCTAAGCCAGTTACCGGAAAGCCCAGGCTTCCTGCCGCTTCTCGAGACTGAGCTCGAGGAATTCCATGGCCAGGACGCCGGGCCAGAGGTGTGTTTGTGTGTGTGTGTGTGT